AACCCTAAATCCTAAACCCTAAACCCTAAATCCTAGACCCTAAACCCTAAATCCTAAACCCTAAACCCTAAACCCTAAACCCTAAACCCTAAACGCACAAGACCCCCAAATCCCAAGCCCGAGCCCTGGGCCCCCCCACACCCTGAGCCTTAAAACCCTCTACGCCCTAAACCCAAACCCAGAGGGTCCTTAGGGTTTAGGGTTTAGGGTTTAGGATTTAGGGTTTAGGGTTTAGGATTTAGGGTTTAGGGTTTAGGATTTAGGGTTTAGGGTTTAGGGTTTAGGGTTTAGGGTCCAAGTACTCTTAGTAAGTAGGTAGCAAGTAGACTTACAAGTACCCTAAAAGGGACCCTAATTGGGGTTATGGTACTTATACCCTATTGCAGGACTTTAGGGCCTTCTTAGGTACCAAAAAACCATACATAGGAACTACTTGGACTCCATCCTAGAAAGGCGTAGGCTCGGATCCAGAGTAGGGGTTTTAGCGTTTCGGTTTAGACTGGGTTCAGATTATTCAGGCTGGTGCTCCTTAGACTCACAAGTTCAGGGTTTAGGGTTGGAAAGTGACATGTCAACCAACTTGGGACACCCGCAAGTCTCAGGAAGGGTCCCTTGTGGTGGACTTGGTTCCGGTCAAGAACTACATGGGCGCTGACGTCGTCATGCCACTGTAGCTCTGCTGCAACGAACAGGAAGCCAAAATCACCCTAAACCCCCAACTCCAAACTTAAACTTTTCTGGCCAGGCATTTCTGCAAACCTGAACGCCTAAACCCTGGAGGCCGGAGTTTCAGACCCCGGCCCCCCAAAAGCAAACTTCCTCTGGGGGATCCCTTGAATTGAGCACCCTATAAACCACCTAAGCCTTACCTTAACCCTGAATAACCTACCTTTTTAGGGTTGCTTGTTATGATTTCCTGATATAACGGGTAGACTTGCCTTTGGTTAGTAGGGAATGGAAGAGTGGTAGTAATAGTAGTTATAATTGTACCCCACTCCTCCATTCCCTGCTAGCCAAAGGTAAGTAGATTGAGCACCCTATAAACCACCTAAGCCCTAAACTTTACACCCTTAAACTCCTGAAGGGTCCTATGTACCGGTTTTGTAGAATGTAGGGTTGCCATATTCGAAATTACTATTATGACTTGGGGAAGTATTCCCCGCAAACAGTACATAGGACCCTTTGGGACTTAGAGTGTGAAAAGTTACCGTAACACCGAAGAACCTACATTTTTAAGGACTTATGTAAAAAAATCATAAGAAGGAACCCTAAAAAGGTAGGTCGTTCAGGGTTAAGGTAATCCCTTAGAACTTCAACGCTTCGTGTAGAACGCTTCCGGTGTTCGAGGCTCTGCGAGGGTTTTTAGGGTTTAGGGTTTAGTTAGGGTTTAGGGTTTAAAGGGTTTAGGGTTTAGTTAGGATTTAGGGTTTAGGGTTTAGGGGTCTAGGGTTTAGGGCGCTTATAGGGTTCGGGTGTTAGGAGCTCCTCGGTGTTTAAAGATTTGGGATTTAGGGTTTCGAAGCCTGGGCCTTTTAAAACGACTAAGGGTTTTGGTATTCGAGGGCATAAAGCTTCAGAGCTTCGGGTTTCAGGGCTGCTGGCGATGGGGGGTTGAGGGCTTCCATATTCAACCCTGACCCCTTAACTTCAGATCTCAGACTCAACCCCTTAGCTTCCTGAACATTCCAGCCGTGCACCCGCTAGACGTTTGCGGCTAGGGCGTTTTGATATGGAGGTCTAGATCGTTAGGAATTACAGCTTACAGGGTTTAGGGTTTAGGGAATAGAGTCTATATAAGTTGGAGTCGAGGGCTTCGTCGCCACTCGAAACCCTAAACCCGAGGCAATGTGGCGTTACCTGGTTCTGGACGCTCACCCAGAGCTTTGGCTACACCGGACAGCTCTACCGCAAACCTGAGCCATGAACACGATAGGGAAAGCGCTGAATAATTAGCAGTTCCAGTTCCTTTTGGCCTCATTATAATATACGATAATGTAGTATAAAGGTATACTATAGTATACTTTATGTTTGCTATAGTATACGAAAAACTACAATTTACAGTAACATACTACAGTATACTTACTATATCCTACTTTAATACTATACTATGATCTACTATAGCATACGATCGTCTACTATGTCAAAATACTACATGACCGGAAGCTCGATTAGGCCCCTTCGTGTGCCTGAGACCTAGGCCGTACGACTTCACAAGAAGCACCCAGCCCCAAACCCTGAACACCAAGGTTCAGGGTCTTGGGGTTTTGGTTTAGGGTTTTAGTTTTGGGTTCAGGGTCTAAGGTTTTGATGCAGGAGTAAACCTAAAGCTCGCAACCCGTCAGAGCTGTAAATCGTGAAGTTCTGATCTTCAACTTTTCGGCCTGGACGCGGATTCGTGGCCTTTGGGAGGCTAGAATTCCTAAATTCCGACATCCCAATGTGGGAATGTGTTTGTTGAAAATATTTTCTTTTAAAACGCCCTATGAATGCCCAATGATGTGCTGCTGGGTATGAACACCCCCCTCTCCCCAAACAAGCCTGTATTTAGGTATCGAGGCGCTTATATCTAGCCAGTCACCATGAGCCCAAAGTCAGGAATGTCGGTGTCCGCTACCGCAGCCTGATGATGCCCGAGGGCGACCTCGACGCAGATACCGTGGAAGTGCCCGCCGCTAGCCTGGTATAGAAGCCTAGATAATGACCGATGTTGTACCTTGGGGTTCCTGGTTATAGCTATACAAAGAAGAAGCCCGAAACCCTGTTCTACTCTGGTTATTAAAGCCCCTGCATTACTTAAGTATAGGCTTCGAGCCTGCTGGATCACAGGGGAAATGGCGGCTTCGTCACGGTATTATTCGGATGGCTTTTCTCAAGAGTCGTGTGGAAGAGGGCTGCTACCTTCACTCACAAAGGTCCCGTCTTCTGTCAATCGGGGTTGTCCTATTTTGCGCCTTCCTTTTCAGTCCCTGGTCCATTGTGTAACACCGCCGCACTGCTTGCCCGGTCTTTCGAGGAGGTGCTTGAAGCTGATCCAGCAAGCCCTCTGATCGCGCCCTCCTTTGTGAGCTTATGATCTAGCAGTTGGGTTGGCAGTTCGGTTCGTATGGTTCCCAGAGACTCCAATATCCCTTAATTAAGGAATATACCTTAAATCATATAAGGGATCCTACCATAATTTAAGGAATCTTCCTTAATTAAGGGATATTGGAGTCTCTGGGTTGGGCCTGTACCCAAACGCTAGCTTTCGGCTCTTGCGCGCAGGACCCGAAATCCACAGCCAACAGCCCGAGACCCGAACCCAGAGAAGCCCCACCAGATGCCAAGCCCTTCAGGTTTCGGCAAAAACCTAGAGACTCCAAAACCCCTTAATTAAGGAATATACCTTAAATTATAATAGGAGCCCTAATATGATTTAAGGTATATTCCTTAATTAAGGGGTTTTGGAGGCTCTGGGAATCTGAAACCCTCAACCCTGAAGCCAACAGCGCCCGAGTATCTAGTTAAATAGTATACTATATAGGGGCCTTAATAATTCGACCAGGGTTTTGGGGCCCGTAAATACTATACTGATAATGAGGAACCCCCAAACAGTATTGGTAGTTGTTTAGGCCCCTAAAATATACTTGTCTCAAGGATCCTGAAAAAGAGTCACGAGCTCAAAGGTAATTATGTGATTACTTTTATTATTACCAACTTTATTACGAGTGTTATTGTTATTATTACTATGATTATTAATGTTGTTATTAGTATTGTTAGTGTATACTTATCAAAAGGACCCTTAGGGAGTTAGAAGCTCCGAGCCCGAGGCAGATATGGTTCGTGAGCTGCTGCTGCGCGAGCTGCAGACCCTGCCTCGGGGGCGGCCGGCGAAAGCGGAGGAGCAGTTTGGGGATGTGTCGTCGTTTCAGAGGATTTAGGGTTGAGGGTTTGGGGCTTTAGGGATTTGGGGTTCAGGGTTTTTGGCATTTAGGGATTTAGGGTTTAGGGTTTAGGGTCTAGGGTCTAGGGTGTAGGGGTTCAGAGGGGTTTGGGTGGATTGGGGCAGACACCCCCGTACACCAGCATTTGAGCAAGATTTCCTTGGAGGGATTGTCGGATGTTTAACAGAGTGTTGCTGCAGCCTTATGGGTTGGATACCCCAAAAGGCCTCCATCGGGATTCCCTGAAAGTCCTCACCCCGATCCCCACTCCCGAAACCCGAAACTCCAAACTCTAACCCTAAACCCCAAGGCCTAAACCCTAAACCTAGCATGTGTACAAAAAAACCCTAAACCCCTTGAGAGGAGACCTGCGGCGTGGACGAGCGCTGTGGGCCAGCCGGTCTCGGCGAAGAGGCTGAGGCGGCTTCCGGCGTTCTTTTTCTTTTCATATAGCTTAGGGTTTAGGGTTTAGGGTAGTTCTCTAAATTAGGGTCTCCATTAGGCTTCCTTTGTACAAGGGTGCCACACTGTTGTTTGGACCGAAAAAGGGACGCACTTTTGGAGAACTACACCTTCGGCGGAGCGGATCTAGTCGGGCCATGCGTTTTTTCGAGGATGGGTAGGTTCAGATTTTGGTGTTGAGGCTGGGAGCTTCAGTAAGACTCGAAATGTAGCCCGAATTATTTGAGATCAACTCTTTAAACCTCAAACCAAAACCCTGTAGACCCGAACCCCACGCCCTCAAGTGCAGAATTCGGGGATAGGGAGACACATCAGACACATCAGACGAAGCAATCCTCAAGCCTAAACCCCCAAACCCTTGAAGCAAAGAGGCAGTAGTAATTCGTAGACGTAGGGGGTTTAGATAATTAAGGACCTAATAAAGCCTATTTAAGGATGTGGAGTCCCCTGCCACCCTCCCCCTTGCTCCCGTAAAGGGTCCCTACTTAAAGGATCATGGGACTTAGTAACTAGGGTTATAATTAAGGTAACTGTACTTATAATTACTTCTAACCCCAATTAAGGTACTTATAACCCTACTTACTAAGTCCCATGATCCTCCCATTATAGAACCCTTATAGCTCCCTTTAAGGAACCCTATTACAGAGCCCTATAGTACCCTTAAAGGGAAGCTTAAAAGGGGTCCCTATGAACTAGATCGCAGCGCCGACCCCAGGAACTATGCCCTGGAAAGCTGGTCGCTGCTTCGCCTGCGCTCTGCAGCGTGCCGGTGCCGCTTTGAAAGGGGCGCAGGGTCTCCAAAACCCCTTAATTAAGGAATATACCTTAAATCATATTAGGGCTCCTATTATACCTTAAACCCTTAATTAAGGAACATACCTTAAATCATATTAGGGTCTCATGTGGCGTCACTGGGGATATCCTTGTAGCGTTGCGCAAGCTTGTGCGGTTGGAGTCGTGTATCCATAGCAACACGTATGTGTGTGTATGTGGAGATGCATCTATTATACATATGTACATGTATATACACATATATAGGTACACACACACACAAGTAACACCAATATCTATGCAAGGCTTGATGCTCAGGATTTAGTTAAGAGCTCACGGCATGAGAGCTGCGAGTTCAGTGTCTTTATGTGGATTCGCAGCTCAATCTGTAGTGTTTCGAAGTGCATGAGTGGCAAGGACTGTTGCTCAAACCCTAGCCAAAGTTAACGAGAAATGACCCTGAGTCCCAAACCCTAAGCCGCTCATAGCTGTCGGGCCTGGCGCTCCCCTGTGCCCAACTCTGTAGTCCCTATATCATCGCGAATTGACATACGCCAAAAGTCTGCTCCCATTCTTCAAGGCCCTATGGTGGAACTCGAAAGCCGAACACCTCGTATAATTCGGCAGCATCAGAGCGAGTTCATGCCATGACTAAACCCCAAACCCTAAACCCTAAGCCAGAAAGTACACCCACCCTAGACCCCAGAGCCCGAAGTACGTAGGACCGTTGGGGTCTATTTGGTGATGCCTTTCGGTTGCAGACCGTCCTTTCACCTTTCCTGTGCTTCATGTAGATTTCAGAATATATTTCTACATTCCAGAATTTACAATCAAGAAGCCTTTCGAAGTTTTGAGTAGCCTTTTTGCCAAAACAAGTTTCATTCTGACTGAAGTTGGACATCAACCTTACCTTTGGTTAGTAGGGAATGAAGGAATGATAGTAATATATAGTATAATAGTACCCATTCCTTCATTCCCTACTAACCAAAGGTAAGCAACAGGGCACAAGACAACCGCTCCCGACGCTCCGGGGATCCGACGTGGCCGTGAAGCGGACGCGTCAGGAGCTGACCAACCTGGGGTTTAGGGTTTAGGGTTTAGGGTTTAGGGTTTAGGGTTTAGGGTTTAGGGTTTAGGGTTGAAGGACCAACTTTGCGCGGTCGGCGCCGGCTCCTGTTTGTTGCAGATACATGAAGCCAAAGAGAAAGAAAGAAGACTAGTCGAGAAGTCAGTGCAGAAACGGCTCGCACCAGCACAGAGCGCAAACGTGAAGAGGCGATAGCGCTTCACACTTCAAAACGATGTGACTTTCTGTATCGTGCAACCAAAGCCTTAAACCCTTAACCGTCAACCCTAAGCCCTAAACCCTTTGCACTTAGCTGTGGCCAGGTGGATAGTAGGCCTGTGGAGATCCTTCGGGCCCCTCGGCTCTTCCGTTGTGTAGGGGTGGGTGCTGGAGTCGATAGGGATTGTCGGGGTTTGGTAAAAGTTCTATAGATTTCTATACCTAAAGACTTTTGTTCGTGTTCTGCTTAATTAGTTGTTGTTGGGGGTGGTTCTTTTCTTTGAATAAATCCTCTCAACACCCACCTGGAGGGAAATCCCTACTTGCAGACGAACCCCAATCCCCAAAATCAGAAGCACTACCGCCCTTGCATCCTCGCCGCCAGCCTCGTCCACCTGCCGCGAAATCCAAAGTTGGAGACCTTACTTAAATTGGCCATCCCCTTAACCCAAAACCAGAAACCCTCTACCCCCGCAACATATGCCAAAATCTGTTAAGATCCCATACCCCCAAAACCTGAGCCCTTGAACCAATAAAACGTAAAACCTCAAAACCTGATGCCCTATAAACTCTCAGACTCGGTTTAAGGGCTTACACCCTTTAATGCTCTCCTTCCGAGCCCAGGAAGCTTTCCTCAAACGACGGGAGGTGTCCGACTTTTCGGAAAGCAAGGAGGACTTCATCACCAGCTCACCGCCGTGCAGTTAGTTTTCCTGTTTCGGGTTTGGGCTCTGGGTCGGGTTTCAAGTTTGTTTAGCGAAGAAACTAAATGTTTTGGTGAACAAACATTAGTTTTCGGGGCCCAAAAGGCATGGTAACTACAGGCACGCGATCTACATCCCCTTACATTACAGTTCTTTATTGGGGGTAGCAAACTCTACTAGTTTACATGCGGGTTGTTTTTACCTGAGGTTCATTGTTTGGCTACCTGATATTCTGTCATAATCATGGTGCTTCATTGGGTTGCTGATAATCTTGGCTGCTACTTGGCATAAGCTTTCGTGGATAAAGATTCGGCGCTGCCGTTGCCTTCCTGGGGACTCTTCTTCAGAAGTCATCCCAGTCGCTGCAAGAGTCGCCTCCCTCAGACTCAGCCCTGCGCCCCGAGCTGCAGGAATCCCGAGGGCAATTATGCTCGCGGAAGTAGCACCAAAGCAAGATCAGACAGCAGTGCAAGTGTTAGTGTTGATGCAGTTGTGGTTGCTCTGTTGCTGAGCTTGGGCTTGACAGCGCAGGTAACCAAAACTGTTGCGATTCAGTGTAAATCTTCCCTTCCCTTTCTTGCCCTTCCCTTCCCTTCGCTTCCCTTACCTTCGGTTCCCTTCGCTTCTCTTCGCTTCTCTGCGCTTCTCTTCTCTTCGCTTCTCTTCTGTTCTCTTCTCGGGGCCACCGACTACTGCCTTGCTGCAGTCACAATGCCGCAGATGTTGCTCATACTTTCCCGCAAGGACTGTGGGTTTCACAACATCGCTACCACTCTTCTTGGGATGGCGCATCTGTGGGTCTGAACTCTAAACTCTAAAACTCTAAACCCCTTATGAACTTATGCGCCCGTCTGAGGCTACCGAAAGCTCTCGCACGATTGCGAGATGCTGGCCTATCTGGAGGCAGCCAGGGTCAGGGATTTGGGGCCTCTCGACCCCTGGAATGTTGATAGATCCCGTATAGCAGTTCGTACAGAATTATGAAGTTTCGTAACGCCCTTCAAGGGCCTCCAAACCCTATTTCCCAGACCTGATTTAATACCGAAAACCATATTCTCAAGCAGTTACATAAGAAAACACCATCAAACATGTGGGTTTCTTGTGGTCCGCAAGGCTAAACCCCAAACTCTAAACCCAAAGCCCGAAACCTCAACCCCCCAACCCATAAAACCCTTGCCAAGTTAGGAGCTCGGCCACCTGCAGCCACCGCAGCAGCTGATCTGAAGATGTCCTCAGGAAGGCTTTGAGAGTGTCTTTTTGAGCTTCTATAAGAGTTCTACTACAAGGATTTTCAATGTTTCTAGAAGACTTCTAAAGGGGTTCTAGAAGGGTTCTACAAGGGCTCTATAGGGATTATAACGGTGAGTCCTGTTCTAATCTAATCGCTCTATCTGCCTACCTACTTATCTGTCTATCTGTATGTCTATCTGTGTATCTGTTTACTTATCTATCCATCCATCTACCTGCCTACCTATCTATCTACCTATCTATCTATCTACCTATCTATCTGTTTATGTATCTATCCATCTATGTGTCTGTCTGTCTGTCTGTCTGTCTGCCCTAAACCAATTGCCGAAACTTCAAACACCAACTGTTAAGACCCCTAAAGCGTCACCGTGAATCCCGACAGTCCAAACCTTAAACTCTAAACTAAAAGCTCATAACCGGAAACCCCAACTTTTAGGGTTTAGGGTTTAGGGTTTAGGGAACTACCCTCTAACATACCCTAAATACCCACTATTAAGGACCATAAGGGCTTTATTAAAGGGTACTTTGGGGGTCCTGGTTAACCGGAAACCCTTAACTTCCCAAACCTCAAACCCTCAACCCAAAGTGGGAGTTTCCAAAAACTAGGGGTACCTTATTTTCGGGGTCCTTATAATAAGGATCCTACTATTTTAGGGTTCTATATTAGGGTCCCCTATTTTCGGAAACTCCCAAATTCTAACTCACCAAGTTCGCCCCTCTGCCGGGCTCTCCACGCTGCCTCGGCGAAAAGCTATGCTGGGCGGCCGACGCAGGCGATCTCGAGAGTCACGCCAGATGTGTATTCCTTTCTTGGTTTTGGACACCTGTTGTGGTAGTCGCCTTTGTAACATCTCATTCAGACTTGTGGAGTGCCTTTGCCTTGGCGCAACCCTTTAAGCAATCCCAGACGTAAATCGTATACCCTCTTGTCTGAAGGCCTTCGTCGTCCGCATTCCTGAGGGTGACCCGCGCCGGGAGCGCTTCCAGCAACTAAGTCGAGCGCTTCTCGCCTTAGAACCTACATCGGCTTAGTTTTTTGGGCTTGAACGTTTAGGGTTCAGTATTACTACTATTATCATTATTAGTATAATTGCCATTATGAGTTCTATCTTGTTATGATGTTGAATGGGGTTTGCGACTTAAGGCATTTTTAGGGTTTAGGGTTTCAGGTTTCATGGTTTATTTTCATCGGCTTTTGCAGCGTGCAGAGTTCAGAGTTTTCCGGGGAAGCAAATTGCGGGGTACGTTTTGTCTTTGCCTCTTTGGCCTTTGGGTATAGGGTTTGAGGGTTCAGGGTTTGTGGGTCCATGGGTTCAGGCTCTAGGGATTTAGGGTTTGGGAGGTCTGTTGTTAAGAGTCTCGGGGTTCAGAGTGTCGTGTTTCGGGTAGGGCTAGAGTTTCAGGAACCCTACCTATAGTCTCCATTGTAGTTCCTTTTTTGGTTAACCAGTTTTATGGTTACAACCCTATAATCGAGATTTTGGTTAACCAAGAAAAGGAACTACAATGGAGACTACAGGTAAACCCTAAACCCTATACCCCAAACCCTAAACCCTAAACCCTTAACCCTTAACCCTAGACCCTAAACTCAAAAGCTTAAGCCTGAATGCTCAGCTTCTGCCTTCTCACGTGCAGGAGCGTAACACACCTGTACGGGAATGAAACAAAAGACCTTCTAGTCTTACCTAGAGGTAAATGGTAATTGTAAAGCTACAATTACAGCCATTTACAGGTAGACAGCATGTGTGTATACAAGTATTCCTTAATATACTCTCCAGACAGCACTGTCAGTACTATAAGAGATATACTACCCTAAACCCTCGCCGCTAACCCTCGGATCAAAAAATGGACCCTCGAGTGCTCGTGTGTGCCCAAGCAGGTCGGGGCCACATTCTGCAGCAAAACAGGGCGTTCTTTTCGTGTGCCTGCTCTAAACCATCCGGTGCCTATGGGTGCCCAAAGTGGCCAAAGCCAGATTCTGCAGCAAAACAGGGCCGTTCTTTTCGTGTGCCTGCTCTAAACTGGGTTCCCAGGCTTAGGATCGAAAAATGGACCCTCGAGTGCTCGTGTGTGCCCAAGCAGGTCGCGGCCACATTCTGCAGCAAAACAGGGCCGTCCTTTTCGTGTGCCTGCTCTAAACCATCCGGTGCCTATGGGTGCCCAAAGCGGCCGAAGCCAAATTCTGCAGCAAAACAAGGCCGTTCTTTTCGTGTGCCTGCTCTAAACTGGGTTCCCAGGCTTAGGATCGAAAAATGGACCCTCGAGTGCTCGTGTGTGCCCAAGCAGGTCGGGGCCACATTCTGCAGCAAAACAGGGCCGTTCTTTTCGGGTGCCTGCTCTAAACCATCCGGTGCCTATGGGTGCCCAAAGCGGCCGAAGCCACATTCTGCAGCAAAACAAGGCCGTTCTTTTCGTGTGCCTGCTCTAAACTGGGTTCCCAGGCTTAGGATCGAAAAATGGACCCTCGAGTGCTCGTGTGTGCCCAAGCAGGTCGCGGCCGCATTCTGCAGCAAAACAGGGCCGTCCTTTTCGTGTGCCTGCTCTAAACCATCCGGTGCCTATGGGTGCCCAAAGCGGCCGAAGCCAAATTCTGCAGCAAAACAGGGCCGTTCTTTTCGTGTGCCTGCTCTAAACTGGGTTCCCAGGCTTAGGATCGAAAAATGGACCCTCGAGTGCTCGTGTGTGCCCAAGCAGGTCGCGGCCGCATTCTGCAGCAAAACAGGGCCGTCCTTTTCGTGTGCCTGCTCTAAACCATCCGGTGCCTATGGGTGCCCAAAGCGGCCGAAGCCAAATTCTGCAGCAAGACAGGGCCGTTCTTTTCGTGTGCCTGCTTTAAACTCTGCCCTGACCTTCGGCGATTGGAAAACTGGTGCTGATTTTGGTGTACCAAATTCTGTTCATAAAATGTGCCTTTGAATGCAGGGCAGGTGCGAATCTCGAGGTCTCTTCCTTTCTTTTCGTGTGGCTGCTCTTAGAGTTGTCATCGCCGCCGTAACGGTAGAAAGACTGTCCGCCTGCCTATAGCTGCATGGGTATTTCCTTCGTGTTGAACGCTTAAAGTCCTTAAGCTAAGGACAAATGCTCCGGGTGAGTTGTGGTGGGATCTATATCGAGGTCCACGGACGTGACGAACTCTCTTACGCAAAAAATCTCTGACGTCCGTCCTACATTCTTTTTACCGCAACAGTTTGGTCGACACACGATCCTTTCATGTGGCAGCTTTAAACCATCCCGGTCTTCTTAAGCCTGAATGCTCAGCTTCTGCCTTCTCACGTACAGGAGCGTAACACACCTGTACGGGAATGAAACAAAAGACCTTCTAGTCTTACCTAGAGGTAAATGGTAATTGTAAAGCTACAATTACAGCCATTTACAGGTAACTGCATGTGTGTATACAAGTATTCCTTAATATATTCTCTAGACAGTGCTGTCAGTACTATACCAGAGATTGCACTCTCGTGTGCAGATGCTTCTCTGTCGGAAACGCTTAAGAACTTAAGCTCAGTACGGAAGCTCTGGGTGGCTTCGTTGGGGTGGGCATGTAAGAGCTCCGCGTACGTGACGAACGACGCTTCTGCTGAAGACTTCGGACGTGCGTCCTTTTTCTTCGTGCCGATTGGGGGTACACCTTTCACGGAAAACAAGCGCGAAACCCTAAACCCTAAACCCTAAACCCTAAACCCTAAACCTTAAACCCTAAACCCTAAACCCTAAACCCTAAACCCCTAAACCCTAAACCCCTAAACCCCAAACTGGCTTGTCGGCAGCAACTCACGCTTCACGCAGGCCCTGAGCCAACACCACCGATGCCCAAACCAGACCTGGAAAACGGACCGCCAACCCTGCACCCCATTCCCTAAACCCTACTAGAGGTAAACAAGGGAAACGGAAAAAAAAACAGGAAAAAAAATTGAAAAAAAATAAGGAACAAAAACCACGCCCAAACCCTACAACCCTAAAACAACAACAAACCCTACAACCCGAGAAAAACCGCCGCCCGCCACCTCGGTGCCTTCGAAGCACGAGACACAGCAACCCATGGCTCTCGGAGTTTAGGTTTCGAAAACGACGCCCAGTCGACGTAGAATCTGCCCGGAAGCCCTAGAGCCTGAACCCTAAACCCTTACCTCAAATGCCCCTATAGAAACAGACCTGATGCCTTAGATGTCAAATCGTGCTTGTGTCGCCGCCTTGGGAGGTTTGGCGAGGGTCAGGGACCAGACAAACCATGCGCAAACGTACTACTGAGCAGGTTAGAGCTAGTCACTCAAAGTTTGAAAGGTCCTGAAGCTCAAACCATAAACTTTCGGGCCGTAAGGGAGGCCCGTAGAAGGCCCGCAGAAGCCCGTAGAGGACCGGGAGAGGACGATTTTCCATTTTATATCAACTCCCATAGTCGGCAACCGGTTTAGGGTTTAGGGTTTAGGGTATAGGATTTAGGGTATCATACAGACCCTTATAATTGCCTAGAGTAGCCAAGCAGGGAGGATTTTGCTGGATCGAGGCTCTACGTCCCAGCGGCGGCGAGGATGCCAGGCACCACTAATTCTTGTGTTGCTAAGGGGGCTAGGGGGTTTCTATATTTAATACCCTAAACCCTAAACCCTAAGACCCTAAACCTGGAATTTGGGGATTTTGGCATTGTTGCGTTGGCGGCTGTCGGGCTGTGTGAGGCTTGGGGATTCAGGCGGATTCGAGGCCGAGGGCCGCTCTGCATGTCCCTCTAAGGTCCTTACTGGAGCTAAGTCCCCAAACTGAATTTGATGTCCTGGGCTTGCGCTACGATTTAGAGTTTGAGGTCTTTGATTCTTTGACTTTTGGGCATGGGTATCCCGAACCCGAAAGCTCCTCGACTAATGACAAGCCCTAAATGGACCCTAAACCCATGTACTGCCCTAAAACCGGTTTAGGGTTTACGGGTTTAAGGTTTACAGTTTAGAGATCAGTTTGTGAGCCCCAATCAAACCCTTGCCAAAAAGCATGTGCATCGATACAGAACCGTACCAGGCCTCCCTTGAACCCCAAGCCCTAAACACCAAACCCCAAACCTAGGCATAAAACCCTAAACCCCAAACTTTTGGAGTCAGAAGGAGTACTACCAGTCCGAAAGGGTTTGGGATTTTTGTTTCAAAGCACAACCGTAAAGGGGTGGGTGCTGAAGATGCCGGTCTCCCCAGGAGACTTCCGACGCAGACAATGCAGACGGAAAAGGGCCCTGAAACAGACAAAGCTTGTGGAGTCAAAGGAGTGGTACATTACACTTAGAAAAAAACCCTAAACCCTACCTGGAGGTACTCTGTTCTGCTTTTTTCCGCCCTTTTGAAGAGGACAGGAAAATGTAGCCTCGCTAAAAAAGGTTCCGCTTTACGGGGGCTGAATTATTTCATTTCTGGGTTTTAGAAGATGGGACTTATCGGGACGTTGATTTCGATTCGGAATGTCTTCGAACACTCGTTTTCACGTGAAGATCGCGAGATGTGCCGAAATCAAGTACCGCTGCAACGTCCTGCGCATCAGCAAATGAGACCCAACACGCCTGCTCAGACGGGCTATCCGTCCCACCATATCTTCGTCGAGTTGAACGGAAGAGTGCAGCACATTTGGCACCCATGGGTGCTGCCTAGAAAGCAGCAGCATATCCCGAAAGCCATGATGCAGGTAATGGATTTTGGGCATCAAAGGATACCTCAGACGATTTTGTCGCAAACTCGCCTCAGCGAGGCGTGCATAGCAGCAAAGAAACCTCATACCCGCTTTACCCGCTTTCGCAGCCTCCTCCGAAGACATCCAATAGCCAGCGCTGTAGCAAACACGAAAACATAAGTTGGCTGAAGCCACACCCTCAAGCGCCAGCTCGGTGACTTCAGTGATCACGTATTGCCTCTTCCTCAAATAATCTTCGAAGAAAGACAGAAGCACACGGGTATCATTGAACTTTGACCAAGCTCCAACTGGCCAAGCTTGCATTCCTGACTCCAGACCAAACAAGTTTAAGTCAATCTGTCCATAATGCAAAGTGAGTTTCGAGTCTTTTCGCCATGCCTTGTAAGCATCATTGAACTCGTCGATTCTGGTGTCGAGACTTTCCTTTGTGTCCATGCTTTCAAGAATTTCAGCAGCAGTGGATGCCACCATATTCTTTCCCACGCCACCATGAAAATTGTGCCATGCATCAAAGTACAAGTTGCTCGGAAGTGTTTCATCATCACAAGAGCAGCCCAACCCTTCAAAGAACCGTGGCAGTTCCGGCCAGGGTGGCACCTCGAAGAGTGTGTGGGACCACTCCGGGTACATATTCATGTTCTCGAAAGGAACGTTAGGTGTTCCCGCCATGCAAACCCAACATATGCCGTGCCCAGCCACATCTCCAATCTTCTTTTCCACTCGTGCATAGTTCCGCAGCAGATGACCAACTTTGGCCAGGAATGGATTGTCGCCTGTTAGTCCCAGACATGCAGCATGGAACCGCCGGCCGTTGTAAAGAAAACCTTCGGTTTGCAATCGTCGGTAAGAAGAACCAATCTGAAAGGCAATGTCATCCCAGACTGACTCGGCCCCTTTGCCATAAATATGCTTCGGCACAGCGACATGAAGGAATCTTGATTTCAGACTCCCGCCCATGTTCAGTCCCATTTTCTTAGCCCGATCATCAATGCTATGCAAAGAATTGAAAAGTTGTGAACCTTGTCCAACAGCACCCCGCATACTCCACAACAGGATGCCTTTCTTGCGTTTGCCCCTTCCTTCGTCGCCATGCGAATAGAAAGGTAGTGTCCGAGCCAAGTTAAGCTTACCTGCTGATGCAGCCTCGAATATCCAATGGTCCGGAAAAATCTTGGAGAACCGGTTCCAGAACTCCAGCAGATTGCATTCATCAGGGAAAATCAGATCCAACTTGTCGCATTCAGCGAGAGCCGAAACCATTTTGTAGGGATCGATCCACGGAATCGGAGTTTCGTCCGGGCCAGCTTTGATGGTATCAATATCAACAGCCAGCGTGAACCCAGCAGTTCTGAGCCTCATGATGCTCGCGATCATTTATTTATTCCTGTACAAAGAACCCGAAACTACAAAACGAAACCACTATTGTATTAATTCTCTATATCGACTAGCAACTCTCCGAAAGCATTGTGCTCAGCTCGGTGTCGGCTCCCCCGGGCTAGACGACCATAAATGGAGTTTCGCGGTGTGGGGTTATCTTCTTCTCGCCTCGAAACAGCCTCTTCCCAGATGCTGGCACCAGCAGCCTGGGAATGGAGGGATTGATTCGTAACTTCTGGTTTTGGGGTAACTTATGGTTTTTATTAGGCTTTTTTGATAACTTCTGGTTTTGCTTGGGTAAGACAAGGGCAAGTGAAGTTACAGTAGTCTCTTACACCTTAGATGGTCACCCAGGGCCAGCAGTCCTCAGTATAAAAAGGGTTGCACAGCATATCTGTACGAGTGTTGTTGGTTGGGGCTAGCACTAAAGTCGGTTATCTTTATTAACCCTGTAACATATATGACTTATAATAACCATTGCAGAACATGCACCCAACTATCCCCGACCCTACGTAGAATATATGGGTATTAATGCCTTAAAGCGAAAGCTGAGATTTCACTGGAACCCTTTTGATATGCCCGTAGTGTAGGGAGATGGGAGATCGTCAACTTATTGCTGGGATAATAAGGCTTAGGACAGCGTCCTCTAAGTTGCCCAACATCTAACTAAGATTATACTGCCCCCCTAAACCCAATAACCCCTTCCTTCCTTCTCCGGCGGGGCGCTCCACGTGCCAAAGCTCTGGCCACCTGGAGGCGCTGCCGATCATCTCCTGGCTTGTGTTGGGTTATTTCGGGCTTTGGGGATGATGGGGTGGCGTCCGGGAGTTGCTCAGCGACCGATCTTTTTCACACCGACCTTCCCCATGTTCGTAGCGAGCAGAAAGTGAGAAGTAGCACACATACCACCCATACACAGCATTGCACATGTCTCCCCGAAGAATCTGTGCGTATGTATGTGTGTGTGAGCGTGTGTAAAAGTGCAATCACGTGTGCACGGGATCACGGTATGAAGGCAACAAGTCTCGATTGGAACAGCGTCGCCCCCATGTGCGAAAAACTACTTCTTCTTACCCAACTTTGATTTGGCAGCAGCTTTCGCTGCACCCTTGGGAACGGCCGGCTTTGCGGAAGGGTTGCTGACCCTTCTCAGTTTCTCGATGTCGCGGATCTGGGGCCTCAAGGATTTTCGGGAGGGAGCACGATGCTACAGTCAGTGTGGTGTACTGAGTTGATGACAGCACCAGGGCCTCCACAGACGTGGCCTTCGAACCCCTCAGTTTTTGAAGCATCGGTAACATGAATATATATTGTATGTCAGGTTGCAACCGGGGAACAGCGAACTCGCCTTCTTGATAGCATCCTTCACCGCACTCCTTGCTAGCAGCTCCCCCGAAGTTCTTTGCAAGCGTGTCGCAAAACTGCAATCGAGGTGCTTCAAAGGTGTCTTTGGTGTGTTGTTGACGGATTTCTGCTGGGCTAGAAGATCGGACAACGTGTCGTAGGAGCTCTCCATAGACTCGGCCGAAGATTCCAGCTGCTTCGCATACCTGCTACAGCATTACAATTAAACGATTGAATCACTGCGAAGAAGTATTCGTCGGGTTGCAGAGGGCCTCTCGTGTGCAGACTTCGGGTCGGGGTTGTAGGGGGCCCGCAACTTCACCACAGTGTCATGCAACTTCGCAATGCGAATCAGCAAATCACTCATGGCTCTCTCCACCGCGTCGGAGAGGTCCTGGTATCAGGAAGGAAACGTGAATGCAATGAATCTAGAATTATATATGCTTGAAAGCCATGCAAACAGTATCTAGAAATTTGGTATCCTCATCAGACACTCGCTTGGCTTTGTCGTCGTCAGCATCCACCGCACTGGGGTCCATGTTTTCGAAACCCAGGCTCTTGATATTTGGCATAGCCGGCATGGCATCGTTGACCTCCTTCGGCAACTCCTGGCCTGCTTCGTTGTTCTCCCACCTGGAAACAATTCTTGTCGTGTCCTTGAGAGTCGTGGTCCAATCGTTCTCCACCCAGTGCCGGAGCTTCTTGGGGTTGTACTTGTACTTCCTCGCACGGAGTGTTTTTTCTAGACCCCAATCACCCACCGCGATTTCCCTAAACCTTGCCTCCTCAGCTCGGGCTTGTCCTTGGTGTACTCCACGACATCCTTGATATCGGACCTGGTTTGTTATGGGTTCTCTTGTGGGTCTAGGATTATATAAGGCACACACCAAAGTATAGTAGTTCACTGGGGATAGAACGGATTCATCTTCAGGACACTGCTCATTGCAGCCTCCGTATACCATCCAGCCGTGATCTTATTCTCCTTGTTTTTCTCGCGCTCCACAAACTTCGTCACTTGGGACCGGAAAGAGCCCTTGGTTTTCCCACTCTGAGAAATGACAGCAGCTGGGACAATGTAACACTCTGAATAGATTTGATTCGAGAGGCTTTCTGAAAGTTTGCTGCGATAAGCATTTCCGTCAGTGCCTCAC